GATGTTTTCGGGCGAGTAGCTGCTTAATCGGAGAAGTATATCTTTGGAAAGTGAAGATTCACCTGCTATATCTCTGTTGGATATGCTCATATAGACTTCATTCATCCTGATTTTGCAAGCGAACTGCTTTGGCATGTCTTCAGCATCTACCTTCCTGCTACTGCTATTGAGTAACATCCTGCACCACTTGCAATATAGTTCTCGTTCTCTTGATGTTTTTAGGCGCTTGGTTTCAGAAGTATATCTTTGGAACGTGAAGATACGCCGCACTATAACAGAGCGAGGTTCTCCACCCCGTCGACGCCTCGGGAGAGTCAGAGTGAGCGAGCCAGCCCCACCAACCAGATCTTCTGGTTGTGAATCATTCTCAAGTCGTCAGCGGTGTGGCGCACAGTTCTGGGCCTGAGCAATGAACCTTTTGCAACTTAGCAGATGTTTTTGACTGTCAAGAGTCAAGAATACCAGGACATGCAGGTTCAGCACATTGCCCCGAGTAAAGGCAGAAGATTGTCCTTTCATTTGAGTCCACTTTGTGCAGAAGATACGTCTTTTGCATGACGTTTGCTTGTGTCAACGAGGTCTCATACATGATTGGTGTTTTAGCCTTATGATACCACTAACTTCTGAGTCCTTTGCCTAGCAGAGTGGCCAACGATCCAAGGGTCGTAGGTAGAATATGTTGGGAACCTAAATAGCACAATAAGGATTGCTTGGTGTGACTTGCGTGTTCCTTATCCATCGTCTCAAACATGTTTGATGACTTATATAATATACATGACTTACAAGGGTGCAGACCGAGGAGAGTCCCCCGGCCCTGTGAACAGATGATGTCTTCAAGGCAAATAACAAATAACGCTTGCAAGTTGTTCTTTTTTGCAATCACCTGTACAACCCTAACGGTTTGAAACTATATATCCGTCCAGATCTTCTTCCGTCACGGCGAAGTCCAAGTCTAACGTTAATTCGTGCAAGATATAGTGTCTGCAGCAGACGGCTTGGACATGGCAAGCAAATTCCGTGATGTGCAAAGTCAGATTCCCTGGTGCTTTTTGCGACTGATGTTCACTGGTTGTGTCAACATGGTGCTGAAGTAAAGCTCCTCACAGGCCCCTGCTGCCAGTGTCCAGAGTTTGAGGCTGGCTGGGAATAGGCTGCTCGTTTAAAGCCGAAATGGCTAGCTTCCTATTTGAAGCGTCCAAGCGCCCCTTGAGTTGCGGGGTGTTTGGGCCCAAGCAGTATTCTGAACAGGTTTGAGCTTCTTGGCTCCAACATCAATCTGAATGGTATCCTTGTCACAGATTCACTTTGCGCCCAGCCTTCTGACATCATCCTGATCATGTCAGAGACGTTCTTCGCACATGTTGGTGCATTTGATGTGCTTCGATCAAGGCATTGCAGAAGGCTGAATGATATAAAAAGTTGAATTAGTTGCACGCCACAGCCCGATGCCATGCGAGGTCTCTTCGTTTGTTCTTGTATTTTGGAGCTTCAGCATCCCCAATGACGATCGCAGCTGCGAGAGACTTTGGGACTTCGGCAAAGAGGAAGTCGCAACGGTTTTCTTCGGACGCTTGGAGATTGTTGGTTAACACCTGGAGTCTCAAAGTATTCACAAGACAAATCATCAATCCAAAAAGTTCAAGCCAAGAAAAAGAGATGACGTGCTTGTTTAGCTGCAGGGCATTTGCAGATCTTGAATTTTCAACTTTTAAAGAAATGCGTTTGACCCTGTCAACCTCTAAACAAGCAGAGTGCCCCCAACTTTGGCTGGGGCTGTGGCATTGGGCAGTAAGGACAGTCAGCGATGGTTTGGAGCCTTTGAGGGACGCCGTGGTTGCCCCGCTTCGACGATGCAGACAAGACGAGCATGCTGTCATTGGAATGTTGCTCAACTAATTGATGACCCG